TGGCATACACTTCATGAAAACCCAAAATCCCTGTCTCAAAAAATCTGCATATCATGAAAAGGTTCTCTGAACGAGCAATAAAAATAATCATCTGAATCAACAAAGTAACTCTAAACACCTGAAAAAGATTCCTGAGGCCTTTAAAAACTCCCAGCCTGGTTCATTACTCAAAACCGCAATCATGGGTCAGATTGCTGACCTGAATGCTGTCCAGAAGGCCATCACTGACATCCTCAAGCAAGAGGGTGAGAAACAGAAATTTCTGAACGAATCGGCTGTTTGCAGAGTGTTATATCAAGGCACCTCAGGGGAAAGTCAGTAGGAAGGAAAAAGTGTGGCAGAAAACGCTACACAACGAGAAGAGGTGACCGGACCCTGAGGAAGATTGTGGAGAAGGGCCGATTTCAGACCTTGAGGGACCTGCGGAAGCAGTGGACTGAGTCTGGAGTAGAAACATCCAGAGCCACTGTGCACAGGCGTGTGCAGGAAATGGGCTACAGGTGCCGCATTCCCCAGGTCAAAGGTCAAGCCACTTTTGAACCAGAAACAGTGGCAGAAGCGCCTGACCTGGGCTAAAGAGAAGCAGCACTTTGGACCACTGTTGTTCAGTGGTCCAAAGTACTTTTTTCGGATGAAAGCAAACTTTGCATGTCATTCGGAAATCAAAGTGCCAGACTCTGGAGGAAGACTGGGGAGAAGGAAATGCCAAAATGCCAGAAGTCCAGTGTCAAGTAACCTCAGTCAGTGATGGTCTGGGGAGCCATGTCAGCTGCTGGTGTTGGTCCACTGTGTTTTATCAAGGACAGGTCAATGCAGCAGCTATCAGGAGATTTTGGAGCACTTCATGCTTCCATCTGCTGAAAGGTTTTATGGAGATGAAGATTTCATTTTTCAGCACAACCTGGCACCTGCTCACAGTGCCAAAACCACTGGTAAATGGTTTACTGACCATGGTATTACTGACTCAGTTGGCCTGCCAACTCTCCTGACCTGAACCCCATAGAGAATCTATGGGATATTGTGAAGAGAAAGTTGAGAGACACAAGACCCAAAACTCTGGATGAGCTTAAGACCACTATCGAAGCATCCTGGGCTCCATAACACCTCAGCAGTGCCACAGGCTGATTGCCTCCATGCCACGCCGCATTGAAGGCTGCAAAAGGATTCCTGACCAAGTATTGAATGCATAACTGAACATAATTATTTGAAGGTTGACTTTTTTGGTATTAAAACACTTTTTTTATTGATCGGATGAAATATGCTAATTGTTTTAGATAGGAACTTTGGGTTTTCATGAGCTGTATGCCAAAATCATCAGTATTAAAACAATAAAACACCTGAAATATTTAAGTTGGTGTCCAATGAATCTAAAATATGACAGTTCAATTTTTATCATTACATTATGAAAAATAATGAACTTTATCACAATATGCTAATTTTTTGAGAAGGACCTGTACAAAGCAAATTCGTCATCCTCCTTTTGCTTTACCTCCATGTAGGGTTGCCACCCGTCCCGTAAAGTACGGAATCGTCCCGTATTTGGCTGTTAAATGTTGCGTCCCGTATTGAACCGATACAGGACGCGGTTTGTTCCATATTTCTATAAATGTCTGATAGACACACCCATCACACATACATTGTTACTAAGTGTAACAATAATGACCAAAATAAAACAGTCAATATTAAGGTCAGCTAAATTCTCGTTGCGGGAGCTAAAGGACCCCAGAACGCTACGGACCGACGCTGTTGTCACGGTTGCCTAGAGATGGACACTATGCAGCTGCGGTGAGCTACTGTCAACCCGCCTCTTTTTAAAACATCCTCGACCCGATTCTCCACCGTCCTTAGAAGCAAAACCTCTCGTAAAGATACAGACGTAAGAAGGAAGACGCAAATCCCAGGCTGAATAATGTCAGTGAGGATGAACACAGGCAGTAAAAAAAAAAAGTGTCCATCGTGGCGAAGTGCGATACCAGACAGAATAGATCAGGAGAGGAACAGCAGACCCTGATATGGTAACATTTTGCTATGATTTAGT